ATCTACCAAAAACTCCAACAAATCCAATCCCAAACGGGGCAAATCAGCAAAACCGAATTAAACAAATTCGGCAATTATAAATACTTCACGGAGCAGCAAGCCCTTAATATCCTGAAACCCCTCCTTGCCGAACACAAGCTAACCTTAACTTTCAGCGACACTCCCGGAGAAGTTGCCACCGAAAAGACCGAAAAAGAGTGAATGGTTCGCTATGGAAAAAAGGCTATCTTAACCAACTCTGAAAAGCCTGAAGAACAACCTAACTTTCTACTCCTGAGCCATCGGCTCTAACTCTGATCCCGCCAAAGCCAATTACAGCAAGCGGAATTAAAGAATACTCGTTGAGAATTAAAAGCTTTAGAACAGCAAACAACCATTAGTTTTCCTTGATCTAATTGACCTCTGTGGCTGGATTAGCCGGCTTGGTGGTTTGACTTATGGCGAAAAGAGGCAATGATGAATAATTATAACTTAGAGGAGTTTAAAGCTTGATTAGAAGCTGATTCAAGCCAAAAAAGAAACTTGCCAGTTTGAGACCACTACCTCTATGATTTAGTAGTGCAAGGCAGATATGAAGGAAATTCCCAACATGCCGAAGTGGTTCGACAATGAATGCAAGAAGTAGAAGAGAGAGTATTTGAAAGCAGAGCCCAGTACTTATTTGCTAATTGTTGGTGGAATTGTTCTAACCCTATTCGAGTACTTGGTTTATCGGTTGTGAAAAAGAAAGAGAAAACATTAGAACCAATTTCCCTAGCTAATTTGGTGGTAAATTACTTTTTCTTCACTTTTTTAGTTTTTGGTGGCAACAAATACAAATTTAATCCTAATAGGGCGTCTAATTCATGAACATTAATTTTTTGTCCTTGGAAAAATCACCCTCCCTTGCGACCAATTTTTCTTTCTAATCTAGGAACAACGGAAGTTTCTTGGACTATTTTTTTATAAAAGCCTTTTACTTGCTTGACAAGGATATTATCAACTTGCTTTATTTTAGGGCAAATATATTTCAAACACTCAATTCCTCCAATTAATTTAAGTAAACTTACGCTGCCTGAAAATTGTCTGCCATAAATAAAGTTAGTATTCTCATAAATTAAAATGTTAATTTTTTTTTCTTGACAGAACTGAGAAAGGAAATGAAGATGTTCTTGCCAATTTTTGCTGGTATAATTGAAAAACTGATAGACTTTTTTTTGCTCGTCGTAAAAGACACAACCAGTAGTTCCGGAACCAGATGGATCAATACTTAAATATTTGTTTGCATTGCTTTTTTTTTGCATTAAGTAATTTTTGACTTGCAACGAGTTTGATAGGCTTTTCGCTGACGACTTAGAAAAAAATTTTTGTAGTTATGTATTAGTCTTTTTTAGTTTTGGTTCAGGTGTTTATTTTTTAAAAATTGAAAATACTGAGGGTAAACCGAAGCAACATTCTTTAACTGATAAAAAAACATTTTCAGACATAGTTGAAAGTCTTTGTTATTCAGCGAGGAGCAATTAATAATTATTTCAGCGGGAGAAATAGAAATTTGGCAATTTTCAGCATAGTTTTCTTGTAAAAAGTTAATAGTTCCGTTAACAATTGCTGAAATCGCTGCACACACTATATCTTTCCCCTTGGGAGCAGAATTAGCATGACCTTGGATTTTAATATACTTAAATTGTTTTTTATCATTATAGTAAAATATCTTAATCATTATTTTTGTAGTTTATTACCAGTTAAACAAACCTTGCCATTTTTTAAATTTTCGGAATAAGCAATTAATTTTTTTTTTTCTCCTTACTCCTCTTTCTCAAAAAACTTGGCAATTAATTTTAAGTGTTTGAGTTTTGTGTTTATTTTCGTTTTGTTCATGGTTAGTTTTTCCTTCAATAGATTCTTTGACAAAGGGTTTTATTGGAGTTTGTTTAGGGATACTTTTGTTATCTTGTTTTTCTTTCTCAGTTTCTACTTTTTGTTCTTGTTCTTCGTTAGTGTCATTACATTGTGAATCCTAAAAAAAATAATTAATCCCTCTTTTACTAAATCCTTTTATTGTATCATGCTACTACTGAAGCAATATTGATTCCTTCAACTTCTTTTTCTAATTCTTCCATTGAAGGATGGCGAAGATAAGTAATTTCTAATTTTTCTTTATCTAATTTCAAAAAATCGGGGGTCTTAACATTTTGTTGGAGTTGCTGTTGAATTAATTTGTTGTCTCGCGTTTTTTCTCTCAAACTGATAACATCATTGGGTTCTACTAAATAACCAGGTTTGTTTATTTTTTTTTGATTAACCAAAAAGTGTTTTTGAGTTACTCATTTACGAGCTCAAAGATAGGTACTAACTAGACCAGAACGAAAAATTACTTTATCTAGACGAGGTATTAGATGGCTTAATATATGTTGGATAGTATTGCCTTCTTTTTTTTCTAACTCAAGATAAAGGTTTTTTAATTGTTTTTCTTTTAGACCATGAGTAAAACGCAGTTTTTGTTTTTCCCGATTTTGAGCAGCATAAAGAGAAATTTTTCGTTTTTTTGTTTTTTTTTGACCATGTTGACCTGGGGGCGTCATGCCGCGCTTAAATTCTTTTTTATTTCCGAGCAAGGAGAACCCCAAAGCCCGTGATTTTTTTCAAATTGGAAATTTTTTCATTATTATATTAAATTTTTAGCCAAAAGCACTTTTACCTTTGATACTAATCTCTGCTTATTATTTATTTAAGATTATGTGTATTATGACTAAAAGATTTATTTTTCCTCCAAAAGAGGAGTTAGAAAGAATAGTAAAAAGAGCCAAGAGAAGTGATAGATGAACGATATAGCCGGCGGGGAGGCTCCCCCAACAGCAGCCTAGGTTCTGCTTTTGCGGGATTTGTTTCTATTCCAAAGAACCAGGGCAATAATTCCACTAATCAAAACGACTCCAACCACAACAAAACCTTTTGCTCGTCATTGGGTAGATTTCGCACTCCAATCAGTATCTGGCTTTTTTTCAAACACCCCTTTTTTTCACTTCTTTTCTTCTTCTGATGGATGTCAAATAACAAATTCTTCTCCAGGAGCAGGATGGAGACTATAAATATTCATGCTATCTTTAAACCAGCCTTTTTTATTCTCCTAATTTTCACGACAAATTTGTAACTATTACCATCTTTTTCGAAAGTTATTAAATCTCCCTCTTTCTTATTTTCGCCTATATTATTTTCATCCCAAGTAATTTCTATAACTTTTTTCCCAGACAATTCTTTGACCTTTCCGTCTCTATCTTTAATTTTGACTTTGAAAAAAAACTCTCTTTTTTCTTTCACCACTTAAATCTTTTACCCGCCTACTTCTGCCGTCTCATCGATATTTTCGCCATTTTTATGACGATCAACTACGCCAGTAACTCAATCCGCCAGCATATCTCTGTTTGATTGGCTAAAAGCACTGGTTTTTGCATCTCCTGCTCAATGACCTTCTGCATTCTTGATTTCTCGTACTGCTTTTTCAGCCACACTAGTGCTGTAAACTGTTCCGCCGATCTCTCCATCTACGCAATTTTTAAGAACTATCTTGAGGCGAAATTTAAGCTTTTTGTTTTCGCCACTACAATTACAACAAGGTCCATAAACATCTTGATTTTCACTGACATAACCACCTCCTCATTTCCTAATTACTTTACTTCTAGCAGCGGGGGATAAAGAAGATTTTTTTACCTCCTGATTGGTTTCCAAATAAGCTACCTGGAATGTTTCTAGGGCTTTGGGGATGTATTTGTTGTTGTTATTTTCTTTTCAATTTATATTTTTTTCCATGATAGTTATATTTTTATTTAAACTATAAAAAATCTGTACGCATGTAAAATTTTAAATATGGATATCGATAATATTAAACAAATTGCTATGTTTTTCCAAAAAGTCGGACAAGAAATTTGGGAACAAGGAGAATTAAGCCCAGACAATAAAGCCATTTTGCGTTCAATTAGCGTTCAGGATATTCGGAGGTATCGCGAGCAATTTCAACAAATGGTATTTCAGCAACTTCGCTAACAAGCGAACACTCCTGCTCAGCAAGAATTATTAGATGCAGCAATAAATTGTAGCCAGGCTTTCTCAAATGATTTTGATCATTTTGCCAAAGATTGCTTGGATATCCTTTGTAATAATAAAGGCAATGCTATCATTAACAAATTACTTGCTCGGTTTAGCCAATATATCAATAATTATGTGGCAGTAGAAGATACAAGTGAAATTGATGATGCCACTTATCAGCAGATGCGTTCAAATTTTGAGCAAATTATTCATTATGTCAAAGAACAATTGAGAAACCGCGGATTTACTAAAATGGATGAAGAAAAAGAAAAAGAAATATTGAGAAATTTCAGTGTAGAAGATATTCGAGCAGCACGCGAAGTCTTGCGAAAATTTGCCATTAAAGCCATTGATACCGAAACTGAAATTTATAACCAAATTCCGGTAGCTTGAAGAGCAGAAACCAAGCATCTTTTAAAATCAGCAGTTAATTTATTTGCCGGTATGTTAGACGAAAACTTAATTCATGATTGTTTACAAATCGGCTTAAATGAAAGCATTAGCCCAGAAGAAATGCAAAACAGGATGATTAAAAGAATAACTCAACAATTTAACCAGTGAGCAATACAAAGAAGATTTTATGTGAAAAAGGCTTCTACTGCTACAATAAATAAAATTTTGCCAATAACACAACAAATAACTATCCACCAATTTAATGAAACTAATACTCACCAACTACAAGAAGAAATTAAGCGGTTGCAAAAAGAAATTCAGGACTTAAAGGCGGAGAGAGAGAGAGAGAGAGTAGAGAACCTAGTTCCGCTGACCCCAATTTCCATATTGGCGATGGAAAGATAGAAAATTACCAAAAAGAGTTAGAAAAAAAACAAAGCCAATTGGAAAATTTACAAAGGCAGAAAGGAAATAACCAAAAACCGATGAGATTTTCGCTTGGTTTTGGCAATTCCGTCGCTCAAGAAGAACTGAACCAGTTTGCCAAGAAAATGGAAAAATTTGACAATCAACAACATCCGGAAGGTAAATTAAGCGGCGGGAGTGTTGCTTTGATTATTTGTGCTTGCCTGGTGGGTGCTGGCTTAATTGGTTTCTTGCTTTGGCTCGCTTTGCGTAAGAAAAAAAATTAAAAGGATGCCGGCAAAAGTCAACACAGTATCTGTGTAAAAACGATCAATTCCGCCTTTGCTTCGTTTGAGAATCAGGAAAAGTTCATTAATTAGTAGTAATAAGCACATTCTTATAAGCATTACTTTTTTTTAAAAGAAAATTGTAAACGGCTTAAAATCTCTTCTAGTTTCTTTGCTTCAAATTTTGCTCCTAACTTTTTTTCAATAAATTCTTGGGTAATAGTGACGTTTTTTTCATTTTGTTGGCTGGTTTTTTTCTCTCAGCAGACTATTGATTCACTTTTTCCTTGGCAAATTTCTCTAATTAATTCAATTGCTCGACCCAAAGCATAATCCCCAAAAGACAAGTTAAAACTTTTGCTAAAATATTGACTGGCATGGGTAAAAATTGCTAAGCGTTGGCTGGTTTTTTTGATCGAATAAGGAGAAAATTTAGCACTTTCAATCAAGATATTCATAGTTTGGTTATTTACTGCTGTTTTTCTGCTTCCACTAATTCCTGCTAAACTTATTGTTCCTTGGTTAGCAGAAATTACAATATCTTCGGTAGTTAAAGAGAAAGTTTTTTCTGAAAGAATAGTTATTTCCTCTTTTTCAAATGCTTGCCGAATAATGATTTCTTTGCCAGTTAATTTGTCATAGTCATGAATATGTAAAGGTTGTCCGGTTTCGAGCATTACTAAACTAGCAATATCAACAACGTTATTAATTGAAGCAACATTATTACTAGCCAAATAATCTTTTATTCATTGTGGAGAAGGTTGGATTTTGATATTTTGAATTAAGGCTAATTGGATTTTGGAGCAATAAGGAGTGTTAACAACGACTTTTCCTCAATTTACTTCTTGTTTGGTTAAATTATTTATTTTTTTCTGTTTTGTAAATGGTAAGTTTAAAGGATAGTTTAATAAAATGCCTATCTCTTGAGCAATTCCTCATCATGAAAAAAGGTCTAAGCGATTTGGCAAAGGAGTAAACTGTCAATCTTGTCCAATTATTTCAGTTTCTAATCCTAGTTCAGTTAATTTTTCTGCAATTTTTTGTGGCTGAATGTTCTCAGGGAAATTAAGATGGCTTTTTAGTCAGTTTCAAGGTATATACATTTATATATTAAATTTTGCTTTTTTTCTTGGACTAGAGACAGGAACAGCAGGGACCGATAACAACTTAATTTCTTGGTTTTGAGAATTTAAATCGCCCAATTGCCAAAGTACAAAAAAAATATTAGTCTTTTGTTAGGGAAATTTTCTACCAAACTAAAAATTTATATTATGTCTAATCTATCACTTTACGCTCTTATTAAACCAAATAAAAACAATCCACTCACCAAAACTCCCCCAACTACCACTATTGGAATAATATAATTTCCTTTTTCGGGTTGGTGTCCCTTGGCATTAACTCTGCTTCGTCCTTTTTCCAAATTTTTACGCACTTCTTTTATCGCTTTATTTTTAAGTTTTATGTAGTTTTTAAAAAAAGCACAGTTTAGCTTTCTAAAACGAGATAACTGATTTTTTTCAATTCTACTTTACTTCTCACAGCTTGATAAAACTTTAAAATTTCTTTGTAAGTGAAAGTGCCAAAATCCTATGGCTGTCAACTAAAATCTGAAAAAACAAAATAAACATTGTATGCTCATCAAAACCGAAAAAATTAGAAATTTCTCCATTATTGCCCATATCGACCACGGAAAATCTACCTTGGCTGACCGGATATTAGAGTTAACTAACTTCAAAAATAGCAAACAGACGCTAGAAAGAATTTTAGACAGTTTGACCTTAGAACAAGAAAAAGGAATTACCATTAAACTTAATGCGGTTCAGTTATATTACCCTCCGGAAGGCTCCGAACCTTATATTTTAAACTTAATTGATACCCCGGGACATTTTGATTTTCATTATGAAGTTTCTCGTTCCCTGGCTACTTGCGAAGGGGTAATTTTATTAGTAGATGCCATTAAAGGAATTCAAGCCCAAACTTTAACTTATTATGAAATTGCTCGGCAACAAGGATTAAAAATTATTCCGGTCATTAATAAAATTGACTTGCCCCACGCCCAAGTAGAAAAAGTTCAAAATCAATTAATGGAACTTTTAAGTTGCTCGCGGGAGAATATTTGCTTAATTTCAGCTAAAACTGGCAAAAATGTGGATTTGCTGTTAGAAAAAATTATTACTGATATTCCTTCCCCACTAAGGAATAAAAGCGAATAATAAGGGAAAGCAACCAATAGCCCTATTTTTCTCAAAGAATCAAAAAAATAACTTATGAGTGCTAAAAATATCGTTTCTTTTCGACTTATTATTCCGTTATTGGGCGAAAAACCTGATTTTTACACAGAAGGAAGCGTAAAATATTTACTTTTTCAGCCTCTGAGAAAAAATGATTATCTCATCATAATTGGCAACCGAGCACCGATTTTAATTGTCCCGGACAATAACCCTCAATTGATTAAGCAAATTAGGAACCGCAAAAATGACGACTTTTTTTCTACTCCACTCAGCAATTTAAAGTTTAAGCCAAATTTCATAAATATTGCGGAGGGATTATCAAAAAATCCTTGGTATCTAGATGGTTTGTTAGTGAAAGACACGAACCAACTGGAAAAAACAGAAGGAGAAATAGATACTCCTATCACTTTTAAAGTTATTAGTCAGCACAAAATAGACATAAGAAAAAACGGAGATTATAAACATTTGCTAAAAATTGAACCGCTTGACCTCGGAATAGAAGGAATGCCGCCAATTACTCAACTCCTTTTTTGTTTTTTTGAGCCTCATGGTGGAGCAATATCAGAAGCCAAAGAATTAAAAGAAAGCAAATTCTATAATAGCAATATTTTAACAGAGACAGCAGGAAAAACTTTTACCATGAATATTAAAGAGTGAGTTTTTGGCCTTTGGAATAGCAATGAATTTGGCTATGATACTTTGTCTCTTGGTAGCAACAAAAGTTTTGATTGAGATAGTTTTCAAGAAATAAAAGAACAAAACCCTGCTGAGAATAAAACCAAGCAGGAAAAGAAAACAATGAGGCAAGGCAAAGGACTTTCAACTAACGCTAAAATAGGAATAGCAGCAGTTTTAGTCATTTTGCGTTAATTATTATTCTCTTATTAGCAAGAAAAAAGAAAAATACTAACACTTAATTTGAATAATTTAGCAAAAAATTAGCATTTTATTTGGATAATAAATTAGTCCCAAATTTTTATATGCTTATCTAATAATGAATGCACGCGGGAGAAAGAAAAATTTTAAAGATTTATGGAAAAATAATAGAAAACAATAAACAATAATATTGGTCTAATTCTCTTTCGATCAACTTTTCAATTAACTTTTTTTCCGTCTGGTCATCTTCCTCTACTAGGCAGTTCGGTCGAAACTAAGAAGGCTATTAGTGCAATAAACAAACAAAAAACTAGACACAGTATAAAACTTCCTATTCAACTTTTTAGCATTATAGCAAGTTTTAGCCAATTCGCCCCTTGGCTTATAGAAGTTAGGGAATTCTTGACTGTTTTTGTAAAAATTACTTTTATAATAAATGGAAATAAAAAAACAAGACCACCGCGAAATTGCTAAAGACTTGGATTTGTATGCTCTCGATGAAAAAACTGGTCAAGGCTTACCCATTCTCCTGCCTAATTGAGTATTTATTCGCAACCAAATTCAACAGTTTATTCGTCAAAATTGAATTGAATATAATTTTCAAGAAGTAATTACCCCTGTCCTCGGAAATAAAGAATTATACCAAATTAGCGGTCATTTATCACATTATCAAGGTTACATGTTCCCAGAGGTCAGCCGTAATAATGAAACTTATTATCTGCGTCCTATGACTTGTCCTCACCATTGCTTGATTTATCAGCAAAGACCACGTTCTTACCGAGAATTACCTTTCCGTTTATGTGAAAATTCACTTTTATTTCGTTATGAGACTTCAGGAGCGTTGAAAGGATTAGAACGTCCTCGTTGGTTCGAATTAGCCGACCACCATACCTTTGTAAATATTGAAAACTTAAAAGAAGAATTAAAAAGAAATTATCATTTTATCAAAACTATACTAGATAACTTAAATTTTACTATCGAAAGGCTAATTTGTTCTCTTCATGACCCTCATAATAAGGAAAAATATCATCCGGACAAAGAATTATGACAAAAATCTGAAAATTTACTAATAACTGCCTTGGAGGAAATGAAATTAAATTATTTAGTCCAAAAAGGAGAAGCAGCCTTTTATGGTCCAAAATTAGATTTAGAAGTAAAAGCCGCTGACGGCAAATATATTACTATTGCTACTATTCAATTAGATTTTCTTTTACCGCAAAAATTTAATTTACAGTATATAGACAAAGAACAAAAATTACAAACTCCCATCATCATCCATCAAAGCCCGATTGGTTCTTACCAAAGATTTATTTCTTTACTGCTAGAGCAAACCAGCGGCAAATTGCCTTTCTGATTAACACCTGTTCAATTAGTTATTCTACCTTTAAACGACCAAAAAGAAATAACCGAATTCAGTGAAAACTTACAAAAAAAACTATTGTCTAACCATTTCCGTAGTGAAATTTGGCAAGAAAAAACTTTAAATTATCGCATTAAGCAAACTTATAAAAAAAAAATACCTTATTATCTAGTAATTGGCTCACAAGAAATAAAAACCAAGGAACTGAAATTGGTCTATACTTATTCTCTAAACACAACAAGTAAATTAACTGAAAATGAATTATTAGAAAAGTTAAAACAGAAAAAAACAAAAACCCAACAAAATAATCCAATTACAAGTTAAATCCTCCTTGCCAAAGCAATTATAAAAAACTGAGACAAAACAACCCCGCTAAGAAATAAAAGCAAACCTCTAATATGTTTCCCACCACATCAAAAAAAGTTATAACTAACAAAAACATTCTTTGGCTGTTTTCATTGAGTAAAAACTGAACAGAAAATACCGTCAAACTAAAGAACTAAAATTTTTTAAATAACTGCTATGAAAAAACTCCCGCCTATCCATCCCGGAACCATCCTCAAAAAAGAGTTATTGCTACAAAGGAAAATCAGCCAAGTCCAACTAGCCCGCGACTTGCGAGTTTCTTTTAAGCGCATTAACGAAATCTGCCAGGGAAAAAGACCAATTACGCTTGATACCTCTTTACGATTAAGTGCTTATTTTGATACTTCTCCGGAACTCTGGTTAGATTTACAAAGAGATTATGAATTGGAATGCTTAGCCGACCAAAAAGTAGTGACAAAAATTCGTCGGGAAATTCAACCTTGGCAGGAGAGGAGTTAGCTTTTTTAGTAATCTACTCTCAAGATTTGGTTAGATCTAGGAGGCTTCAGGCAGATGTTCAGTCTTTTAGAACCTTACAACTTACCCAAATCTTTACAATAGATAATTTAGTTTTAAGCATAGTTAGGGCAAAATGTTGAAAAGTTTAAGCAAATAATGCCTAGTTTCAGCACTCTTTTTAGTTGGTATACCTAAAATATACTCATAGCAAAATTATGAATGGTTCTCGTATACGTGCAAATATAAATATCTTGTGTAGAGAATTGTTTTTTGATAAAAGTAATTGTATAAAATTATTATTGTGGCAAACCAAAAAATAAGAACAATTTTGGAAGAATCGCCCAACGGTAAAGTAAAGATTTTTATGCAGACTGATTTAGATTCAAAAAAATATCAAGGAATACAAATCGCTGATATTATTGCGAATGGTTTGCAAAGAAGACTTTAAAAAATATGATTAATATGAAACTATCCGGTAAATTAGAACTAAATTGAGTTAACAAAAATAAAACTCTGATTGTTAGTGATTATGAGAAAGTTAAGTATGAATGAGCGGAACCAAATGATTATCGGGTTTCGGAAGTAAGGTTGCTAAAATCTATGGAAAAATTTGGCGAGAATTCGGCTGATAACCTAATAATTTGTGGCGATAGTTTAAATGCTCTGACTAGTTTAACCAAAATCCCAGAATATCGAAAAAAATATGTCAACAAAGTCAAGTTAATTTATATTGACCCACCTTTCAATACCGGACAAATGTTTGCTAATTATGACGACCAATTAGAGCATTCAGTTTGATTAACTATGATGCGAGATAGAGTGCTAAAAGCCTATGAATTATTAAGTGATGATGGCTCCTTGTGAGTTCATTTAGACGACACCGAATTATATCATTTTAAACTGGTTTTGGATGAAATTTTTGGGAAGGAAAATTTTGTGGCTACCATTGTGTGGCAAAAAGTATATTCTCCAAAAGGATTATCTAAAAATATCTCATTTAGCCATGATTATATATTAATCTTTGCCAAAAACAAGGAGAGACTAGAACTTAATCGTTTGCCTCGCACTGCCAAATGAATAAGATTTACAAAAACCCCGATAATGACCCACGTGGTTCGTGGATAGAAGGAGATTTTACTATTGGAGAAATTACCGGAAATAGGTACTCTATCACTACTCCTGGTGGAAAAATTATCACTCCCCCACCCGGACGTTCATGAAGAATGAAAAGAGAGAGATTTGATGAACTACTAAAAAATAACCTTATTTGGTGAGGCAAAGAAAGAAATAATGTTCCAAGAATAAAGTTTTTTCTTTCAGAGGCAAGCGACCTTATGCCTACAACTTGGTGGTCGCACGAGGAAGCGGGACATAACAATGAAGCCAAAAAAGAAATCTTAAAATTATTCCCGGATATTGAACCTTTTCAAACCCCCAAACCAGAAAGGCTGCTCCAAAGAATTATCCAAATTGCTACGAATGAAGGTGATATTGTGCTGGATTATTTTGCTGGTTCAGGGACAACTGCGGCAGTGGCACAAAAATTAAGGAGAAAGTGGGTTATTGTGGAAAAAAATGAGGATACAGTTAATACTTTTGCGGTTCCGCGATTAAAAAAAGTTATTAGCGGCGAGGATAAAGGCGGAATTAGTGAGGAAGTTAATTGAACTGGCGACGGTGGATTTACTTATTTTTCAGTGGAAAAATCTATGTTTGATACTCATTCCGGAATAATTTGTTTAGCCGAAAATGTTTTAAATGGTAAATTAGCGAAATTGGTCGCTACCCAATTAGAATATGATTATCAGCCCGAAAATGAATATTTTTGTGGCAAAAAAGGGGATGTTTTATTAGCGGTGGTGGAAGGGATGTTGACAGATGGATTACTAAACTTTTTGCTGAATTCGAAAGAGGAAAAGCAGTTTTTAGAAGTGGCAGCGTTGGCGGTTGACCCAGATTTGGAGAGCAAAAATTACAACAATGTTAAAATTGGTAGAATACCGAATAATATTTTAAGGCATTATGCTAGGATTTAAGAAACTAGAATTAGTAAAAAACAGTTATAATGAAAGAAATAACCATAAATATAAAAGAGCTGCTTAATTTAAAAAACCTAGAATTTAAATTAGCAAAAGAAGGAATAACAATAATTGTCGGTCAAAATAACACTGGAAAAACACGATTATTGAATTATATTTATCAAGAAAACGAGAATTGGGATAAACTTAACGAAAAATACGAAAGAGACTTATACAAATTTTTATCTATATTCTTCTGGGATAATCTTTATGTTTGTAGCCCAACGCATAAAGAATTTATCAGGGAAGAAAAAATGGGTGATATAAAATGCTCCTATGACTTATATTACTTTGATTTAAGTTCAAGTTTCTCATTAATCAATAAACAGAAAGGGCAAAAAGAAATCAAATTTGAGAACAGAAAAAGCCGTGCTTGCGAAGTATATTATACTGAAAAAAACATGGAGAAAGGAATTCGTTCTTTAAATAGTGTGGTAATGAAGAAGGTAGAAAAAACTATATATCCTGAACCTTTACTGCTTGACTATAAAGATGAAGAAGGAAATTTTGATGTAGATGCTGAATACGGAACAAGAGGAAGAAATTATGGCATGAAAATTTCTCATTCACTAACCGATGTTCGGGGTTTTTCAAATTCAAAAGTTTACAAAGTTTAATAGAAAAAATTTTAGAAATACATAACATTAAAAAGGAGACAGAAGGAAGAATGAACCCTTTTCAATATTCACAGTGAGAAATATATGTGCCAATATTGATAATTGATGAACCAGAAGTATTACTCCATCCTGTATTAACCAATAAAGTTGTTTCCCTAATTAAGAAACTAGAAAATGAAAGCATTACAACAATTTTGACTACTCATTCGCCAACTTTTTTATCTCAATTTATCCACGATGAAAAAGTAAATTTAGTTTTAACACAAAAAGAAGAAGGTAACTTAAAAAAACCCCTTTATTTTTGGAAAATAATAAATGCTATCAAAGAAAAGGTTAAAGAAGGATACAAAAAATATGCTAGAAAAAGTGAAAAAACCAATGAAGAATTTACCGACGCTAATTATATAAGCAAATGAAAAAGGTTGCTTAATGAAGAAGTATTAAAGATTTTATTCAGCAAACAGGTGCTTTTTGTTGAAGGAATGACTGAATATATTCTTTTTAATAACATCTTAAAGGAAAAATTGAGTAAAGAATTAGAAAAAAGAGAAATAGAAATTATACCTATTTTCGGTAAGTATCAATATATCTTTTTTGCTAGTCTTGCCGAGAAGTTAAAAATAGAATACTGATTTCTAGTTGATGATGACAGAAAAAAAGACACAAAAAATCCAAAAGAGGTAGAATGAGTAAAAAAAGAAGATGGATTATTTTGAGAAGATTATGGCGAAAGACATGACAATAACGAAAATACAAATATTTTTCATACCAAAAACACTAGAATTAGTTGGGTACATTTCAATATCGAAGAATTTTTAGGAATACCAACAACGGATAGAAATAAAGAGTATAATCTCATTAGCAGAGCGGGCGATGTAATTAAAAATTTAGAAAAAGAACCAATAAAATTTGAAAAAATAAAAGAGATAATTTCTTTTTTTAAGAAAGAGAAATGCAATGCTTAACCAAATCATTCTCGACAACATTTCTAAAAAACTAGAACTCCGCGAACCTAACCAAAAAGCAGTTCAAGCTTTTTTAAACCATTATTACAAACAAAATCAAAATTCGGAAAAATTGGCTGACCGAAGGCTTGATAATTTTAATAAATTGTCCGAATGTATTCTCTCGGTAGCCACCGGAGTAGGAAAAACTTACATAATTGCTGCTATTTTAAACTATTTAGCCGAAGCAGAAAAGATAACTAATTTTCTCATTGTGGCCCCGGGAAAGATAATTAGAGAAAAGACCATTAATAATTTTTCAGTTAACAAACCTAATTCTTTGGTGGATAAAATGATAATAAAAAACCAACTTAAAAAGTTTATTCTAACTTCTTGCAAAAAAAATATTATGAACAAGTCAAACAAAACTAAGCCTTGTGAAAAGTGTGGTAGCAGTGAAATAGAAAAAAAAGAAATTTATCATGATGAAGATAAAAACGACGCTTATCATGTTACAACTTATTCTCTTTATTATTGTAAAAATTGTGGACCAGAAAAGAAAAAGTTAGCCGAATTAAACTATTGAAAACAACTTTCAGAAGAACTAGAGACCCCTGACCTAAAATATTGACAATTAGATTATAACCGAAGTGATGAATGCTTTTATCTCACTGTTGAAAGTATCGAATTCGATGAAGACGATGTTTGGGGAGAGAATGCCCCACAACTTGGCAAGAAAAAATGAGTAAAGAAGAAATGGTCGAAAATTTGCTGAACGACAACAAATTCCGTAATTTAATTGCTAACAAACTAAGAAAAATAGCACCTATTATTAAAAATGACAGAAGTAAACCCAAGGATAAAAGTTGAAAAGAAAAACTAACTAAAGCATATAAGGAGAAGCATAAAGGATAACACACTACACTAAAAATTACAAAATGGTAAAAAAAAGTTTTCTTAAAAAAATTCCTCTGTGGTTTTAGCAAACTTTTTAAAAATTTTTTTTATAATCCACTCTTGGAGAATTTTTTCAGAACTCACTTTCCTAAAATTTTAAATAAATGTTTCGTGACTACAATTGTTCTCAGTTAACTTCTCAACATGAAAACAAAAAAGCAATTTTAAACGGTTGAATGAGAAGAATAAGAAAATTAGGAAATTTATTATTTTTTGACCTTCATGATTCTTCAGGGCTAATTCAAGTAATTGTGAAAAAAAAAGAACTAATTAGTACTCTCCAAAGAGAAGGTTCTGAAACGTTGCTCCGAATTTGAGGAAATGTTCGTCCAAAAATTACTCGGCAAGGAAAACAAGAAATTGAAATAGAATTAGAAAAATATCAAATAATTAACCAATCCAAGCCTTTGCCTTTCGAAATTAAGGATGAAGTAAATATTAATGAAGATACTCGTTTCCGTTATCGTTATTTAGATTTGCGGCGTAATATTAGCAAAAATCCCTTAATTATCAGACATCATTTTCTTCATCAACTCAGAAGTTATTTATACAAGCAAGGATTTATTGAAGTAGAAACTCCAATTTTAGCCCAAAATTCCCCCGAAGGAGCTAACTGTTTTATAGTTCCTTCTCCTCTTGGAAAACAAAGATACTACACTTTGCCACAATCTCCTCAAATTTTTAAGCAATTGTTAATGATGAGCGGCTTTGCTAAACACTACCAAATTGATAAAAGTTTTCGTAAGGAAGATTCTCGAAGCAATCGACAAATTGAATTTTCTCAATTAGACTTAGAAATGAGTTTTACTTCGGTAAAAAAAATAATTAATTTAACCGAAAAACTTTTAAAACATGTCTTAAAAAAAGTCTTTAACCACCAACTAAAAACTCCTTTTCCAGTTCTGACTTATCAACAAGTAATGAAAAAATACGGCACTGATAAGCCTGATTTGCGTAATTCTGCTGAAAAAAATGAGTTAAAATTTGTGTGGATAGTTGATTGACCGCTTTTTGAATACAATAAAGAAACCAAAAAGTGTGAAACTTTGCGGCACCCATTTACTTTGCCAAAAAAAATATATATTAAGCCTTTGTTAAATGACGAGATTAAGCCAGAAAAAGTGATTTGCGAAGCCTTTGATTTAGTTTGTAATGGAGAAGAAGTGTCAAGCGGTAGTTTACGGATTTATCAACGTAAATTACAAGAAAAAGTGTTTGCAATTTTAGGATATGATCAACAAAAACAAGAAAAATATTTTGGCTATTTTTTGCAAGCTTTAGAGTTTGCTGCCCCTCCCCACGGAGGTTTTGGTCTAGGAATTGATCGTTTGCTAGCGATAATTCTTAATTTAAAAAGTCTAAAAGGAATTATTGCTTTTCCTAAAAATATTGATGGTAGTTGTTCTTTAACCGGAACTCCTAATTATCTTGCTGAAAATTAACAACTTAAAAGCCTCTAGTGTCTAACTCTAAATTTTTTCTAAACATCTTAAAGGCAGCATCATGTGTTTTAAAGCGTAATAAGATTTAGAAGTGAAGTTAATCTGCCACATTCTTATTTCATGGCTGGCCCTGGCCAGATTTTGATTAACCACACTTAATTTCCTTAGGTTTAAGAGCATGTTTTTGTTGATAATGCTGTTCCATTATGTGGGCTATGCCCGCCATAAAATCACAACCATAAAAACAATTGATTTTGGGCATAACGGTTGCCATTAATGGCACAGGAGCAGCAATAATCATAATTGTTTTGTTGGTAAGTGGTGAAAGTATCACCGCAGCCAATGCAGGTTTTTTTTATCTTTTGTTTGTTCAGTTTTGTCTATGAACAAACAAAAAGTTAAGCCTTCGATTTATACATTAAGTCTAATATTTTATTAACATATTTATACTTATCATCCTCTAAATGTTTTTTGCTAAATTCGACGATTTGATTAATCAAAGAAGGAATAAAAATCTCCTTAACAAAGAATATTTCATGAGCGGCATAAACTAACACTGATTTTTCTAAAGGCGGTAAACGAGAAAAAGACCAGCCTTTTTTTAACTTGCTTTCAATTTGTGTGATGAGATATTTTTCTTTTTCATAGCAAGTTAAAAATCAAGCAATTTTGGCTTTTTGTTTTTCAGTTTGGGCTTGTTCTTTGGCTGATTCTAATCAACTTAAATCTCCTAAAAGATAATATTTATAGAGCAAGGAAATTTTTTGTTTATCAAGAAAAAAAGAAGCACAAGACATTAAAAAGATTTTATTATTTAATTTTTTAAGCAAAATCGACACTTTTAAAAAATATTATAAAAATCTATTGCCTTAAAATGGAGATATACCCAAGTGGCTGAAGGGGACAGTTTCGAAAACTGTTAGGGAGTAAAATCCGCGAGGGTTCAAATCCCTCTATCTCCGCCAAATATTTTTTTTAAGCAATAAGTATTTACTTTTTTTGGCGATTTATTTTTAACTGTGTTAATAGTCCGCAAATAGTTAACAAACTAATTAAGATTATTCTTTCTTGGTTTGGTTGCTGAATTAATTATTTTTTGGTGATGGTGATATTGTTTGATTCGTTATCATCGAAAAAAATAAGTTATAGTAATGAATAAAGTTATCAAAGTAAATAACCGCATGGTTGAAGAAGTATTAAAAATTATTGAGAATGATAAAGAACACTATCCTAAATTATGAGAAACAATTAGCGGTGAAAAATTAAATAAAGAAAAAGACAAAGATTCTAAATTAAAATTGATCGGAAACTTGGAATTCGTCAATTTAAAAAAAGTGGAAAGCCCTAAACTTTTAACTGAATTAAGCGAAAGAATTAACCGCGGAGAAATAAGACTAAATGTTTTCGATTGTTGTTATTTAATGAATTGTTTTAATTTTATTCGTAAACAAATAGGAGAAGCAAATACCGAAAAAACTGCGGAAAACCAACCACAAATTTCACAAATTCAACTAAACAATTTAGATATGCTGGTGATAATGACATTGCATTTACTGAAAAAAGATAATTTACTTTGTCCTAACCACAACAAACTTATAAAAGAAACTGAACCCCCAAAGTTTGAAGAAAAAAAAGAAGAATAATTAATAAGGTTCTCTACAAAAAAAATTTGGAAAAAACAGTTGAAATTGTAAAATTAACATATATGAGTAAGCAGTTAGAAGTTATTTTAACCGAAGATATTAGGAACTTAGGAAAAAAATGAGAAATCAAAAAAATCAAAGCCGGATTTTATCGTAATCATCCTCATTTAAGAAAGAGTATTTGACTTTATAATCAACAAAATTGCCAAAAAATGGAAAAGCAAAAACAACAAGAACATGCTGCTGCTCTACTCAGAGAAGAAAAAGCCAAAGAACTCTACGAAAAAATTAATAATTTAAGCCTTTCTTTCACTCTAAAAAAAGACAAGAATGACAAAGTATTTGGTTCTATCCGGACTGAAGATATTTTAAAAGAAATGAAAAATCTAGGTTTTCAATTAGAAAAAAAACAACTTTTAGACTTCGTTCCTCTTAATAATTTAGGTGATAATTGTCTGAAAATTAAGTTGAGTGAAAATTTAACAGCTCAAGTAAAAATTATTATAATAGCGAGTGAGTAAAAGTATATGAATGATGAGTTAAAAGTAAACGGTGAAGAAATTGAATTAAAAGGTAGATTAAAAACTAATATTCTTTCAAGAACAAGTATTACCGGAAATGTTTATTATTATGTTTTTCTAAGTGATGAAGAAGGAAAAGATACACCACTTTTCTTTTGACCAGATAATTTTGCTTATGAAGATCAAGGAAAAATTGAAGAACTAAAACAAGACCAAACAATTATTGTTCGAGGATTTTATAAAAAAACAGGAAACTTTGCTAACCCTCTTTTTCATGTGAAAAGTTTTGAAGTTTCTGAAGACGAAACGGAGATTTTTTAATTTTTTTCATTAGCGGACAATTCCAAACTAAAAATAAAAAAATGAATTTAGAAAAGATAAAAAAGCCAGAAATTTCTTTACAAGAAAGTAGCAAATTATATTTCGAAGCCAAAGGAAAATTTTTCTCTGCAGAGAAAAAAGAGCAAACAGAGAAGAACATTGGATTAGCCGTTGAAATTCTCTTACAAGCCTGCAAAATAAGTGGAGAATTTGTTGGAGAATGACAAATAGGAAAAGTGGTTCCTACCGATAAAGAATTAAATTTATTAGAAGAGGGGTGCCAAGAAGTTTTCAAAGTTTTTGACTTTATAGAAGAAAACATCCCATCTAGTAAAGGAAAGTATGATAACTACAAAAAAGCCACTGAAAAAATAAAAATCCTAGTCCAACAAGAAAAATCCCATCGCCGACAACGGCCAAATCAACCTAGTTCCTCTACTTCTTCTTCCAGCACCACAAGCAATAACTCCCAACTCAATCAATTACAAAAAGAATTACAAAGTAAACAAATGGGAAATAAATCAAGCACTAATTTACAACAACCTAATAATGGATTTAATTGGTTATATGTAGTTATTCCTGGAGCGGTTTTATTGGTGGTAATGGGAATTATTATTGCTTATTTGGTAGGTAAAAGGAGCAAAAAAGAGTAAAATGAATAATTCAGCACAAAAAAAATTTGAGTTTGTTTTTCAAGGAAAGAAAATAGTCTTTGAAATCGACCAATTAGCCACTAAAAGTGAAAAATCTATTCTTTGCCGCTATGGAGACACTGTAGTTTTGACAGTCTTGTGCCTTAAACAGTCTGCTAAGGCGAGCAAATTAAATTTCGTTCCTTTAACTATTTTCTTTGAGGAAAAGTTTTATTCAGTAGGAAAAATTCCCGCTGTTTTTAACAAAAGGGAAGGCAAACCAGATTACAATTCAGTTACTATTGCTCGGTTAATCGATCGTTCGATAAGAAGTTTTTTTCCGTTAGGTGGTCAATATGAAATTCAAATTACTAATAGCGTTCTGTCTTTCGATCCTGCTGCTGACCCACGATTAGTGGCTTGCTGAAACTCTATTTTGGTTTGTTACTTATCTTCTCAATTATCCTTTAACCAACCTTTAGCAACGGTAGTGATAAGCAAAAACCAAGGAGAATTTATTTGTAATCCGAGCATTACACAATTAGATGAATCTTCTTTTGAATTAATAATTACAGCCAGCAAAGAAAATATTGTAATGGTCGAATTAGAAGCTGAAGAAATTGCTGAAAGAGAACTAGAAAAAGCAGTGATTTTTGCCCAAGAACAAACTCAGCAATTATTACACTTTTTTCAACAAATTGCGGTTTCTATGGGCATTTCAAAAAAAACTCTTTCAATACCAGAAAAATTAATTGATAAGAACTGAGAAGCGAGAATAAAAAAAGATTTAGAAAAAATCATAATTACGAAAGATAATTGGTCTACCAAGGAAAAAAAGCTACAAAATTCTCTACAAGAATTAAAAAATAAAAAGCCTGAAGATAACTCTTGAGAAGAAGAGGTCGAACAAATTTGAGACTTAACTCTCCAAAAATGAATCCAAGAAAACTTTCGTCAAACCCAGCAGCGAATTGATGGACGCAAACAATCAGACATCAGACCCTTAAATATCAAAATTAATTGTCTTCCTAATGTTCATGGAAGTGCCTTGTTTCAACGAGGAGAAACTCAAGTTCTTTCAGTAGTAACTTTAGGGAAATCTAGCGATCGGCAATTAATTGATAATATTTTTGTTCATACTCATAAGCATTTTATTCATCATTATAATTTTCCGGCTTTTGCGGTGAATGAAATTGCTGGCTTCAAATCTCTTTCCCGGCGAGAAATTGGTCATGGGCAATTGGTCGAAAAAACTTTTCCTCCTTTGTTGCCATCAGTGGAGGATTTTCCCTATACTATTCGAGTGGTTTCAGAAGTGTTAAGTTCTGATGGTTCTTCTTCCCAGGCTTCAATTTGTGCTACTTCTTTAGCATTATTGTCAGCAGGAATTCCTTTGAAAAATCCAATTGCCGGGATTGCTTTGGGATTACTAGAGGGAGAAATTTTAGTTGATATCAACGGTTTGGAGGACAAATTTGGAGAAATGGATTACAAAGTTGCCGGTACAGAAAAGGGCGTCTGCTCCCTACAATTAGATGTGAAAAACCAAGGCATTTCTTTCTCAATTTTTCAAAAAACTTTGCAAGCAGGAAAAAAGGCTAGAATTTATTTGCTTCAAGAAATGAATAAATATTTACCAAAAACTCGTCCGCAGTTAACTTCCCAAGTAGCCAAATTTAGAAAATTTTTTATTGGTGTCGAGCGTTTTGGTTTAATCGTCGGTAGCCAAGGAAAAACAATTAATCGTTTGATTCAAGAAACTGGAGTAAATATTGACTTGCAGCCGGATGGTTTTGCTCTGCTTTATCACCATGACGAACAACAATTAACTAAGGCTATTAGTTTCATCGAAAGCCAATTAAAAAAAAGATAGCATTTTCGCTGGTTTCGGTAAAAATAAAAAAAGTCTTTTTAACAATTTTAAATATTTTCAATTTTGCTGTTTGGTTTTTTCTGTTTCCGTTTAAGTCGGGAGTAGAATTTTGTTTTTCTTTAGTGGATGAATTTATTCAACATTAATTTTTCCCTTGTGAATTTTTTTCTTCTTCCTCATCCCATTTCAATGAACTACCTGTTTGGTATTCAGTAGGCCTAGTCTCAAAGAAATTTTTCTCTTTATTCAAATCAGTGGCTTGGGACATTCAGGGAAAAGGGTTCTTGGTCTGGTAAATTTTCGGCAAACTAATTCTTTCGAGGCGACGGTCAGCGATATATTCCACATACTTACTAAATTGCTCAGAGTTAATTCCTGCTATTCCTTCTGGACAAGCATCCAAGGCATATTTTTTTTCTAGTTCAACTGCTTTTTTAATTAATTCAATAATTTCTTTTTGGAATTCATCAGTTCAAATTTGAGGATTTTCCTTTTTAGTAGTATTAATTAGTTCACAACCAAAGGCTAGGTGGAGGCTCTCATCCCGCATAATATATTCAAATTGTTGGCCAATACCGACCATTTTGTTGACTCTTTTTAAAGCTAGCATCATAGCAAAGCCGGCATAAAAGAAGATTCCTTCCATAATTACATAGTAGCCAATTAAGTTGTGAAGAAAAAGTTTAATATTGTGTTCATGTCGGAGTAGCACTTTTTCTTTATTTTTTCTTTTTTTTTCTAGTTCGTCCTTTTGCTCTTTATTTGGGTTCTTTTCTATTTCTTTCTCTAACTCTTTAATTTCTTTCTCTAATTTTTCTAAGGTTGGTAACTCGTTATTGACACGAAATTGGGGGTCGAGTATTGATTTAGTTAGTTCAACTACAAAAACATCTTTTTCTTCAATTGAAGGAATAGTTTGGTACATATTATATATTTCATCTGGGTTCAATCCTAAACTATCACAGCAATAAACGAATGTGTCGGTATGAACTACTTCTTCGAAAATTTGTCGCCCAAGATAGGTCCGACATTCCGGATTAGTTACATTAATATAAATTAAGACGAGGTTATTAGCCGTCAAGGATTCCGCAGTAGAAAAGAAGCCTAAGTTTCACAGAATTAATTTTCTTTCTTGTGGACTAAGAAAATCTTTTGATTTTCATTGTTCAACATCTAGTTGCATCGAAATTTCTTCGGGTGTTCAATTATTAGCAACACCATTTTTATAATACCTTCAAGCTCAAAGATAGGTCATGGGAAGAATTTTATTAGGGTCTGTTTGGGAATTGTTAATAATCGGCATATAGATATTTTAAGAAGCCAAAGTTATTTTTTCAATTGAAGAGTGTTTATTTCTTTGTTTCCGTATTGTTTGATTATTCTCGAATAAGTTTCAATAGTGTTTGGTGAGAACTCTCTTTCCTCTAATCATTGTAAATAACTGTTAACCAAACATAAGCCGTATTCTGTTCTAACTGATGATTTATCTT